TCTCTCCATCAGATGAGTTTGCCCCTAGCAGTGGCATTTGGTAGAGACACAGACGGTGCACAGTGGAGTATAGGTTTTCTCGTCGATAAGATTGTATCTAATTTATCAGTGTGGAGTGCCGAACATGATCTTTCCACAGACACGGTTAATTTACTTGTAGCTCTAGTGCAACAAAAAGAAAGGTAAGAAGGTAGAAATATGATTACAAAATTGCTTTCACAAATAAAATAAAATTTGTCCAGTACTGAGAATTCCTTATAACTACACTGTATTGATCATTAATCCAAAATAATTTCATCGGTGTGTTAGCCTCACTGCTCAACATTCCCTTTTCACTGGGTTTCTCAGTCAGCATAAAAAAGCTGTGATTTAAAATCATATATGTTAAATAATTGGCATATCATGATTGGCATAAATTAGTTGAGAAAACTGAAAACAAAATAATGTGACATACTTTATTTTTGCTTGGAATTAATTTTCACTATTTTTGCTAAAGGAATGATTCATTGAAAATAAAAATCCAGCGAACATACCTTTTTTCCTATATTTTACATTCAATTCATCAAGAATCAGTGAAAATAAACTCTATACAACCCCAAAAAGTCCTTTCAGCGAAAATTAATTCCATTTAAAATAAAGTATTTCACAGTACCATTGAGTATTTTTGTATGTGCCTACAATTACTGTGAACCACTTTATTTCAGGAGAGACAAATTTTCGAGTCAGTGAAAATCACGAAATTTTCTGTAAGAGTGAAAAATTTCCCTACTCGTAGGGTCATAGGACAAAGACCTAAAATCATAAAAATTTCTAGCAGTGAAAATTAAACTGTTTACATGTATAATGTGGAAAGATGATCCTGTCATGTGATAAATTTTCTGAAGTTTTCAATTTAAAAGGCAAAATGTTTGTAAATGTTTGTAACATTTTTTATGTATTTTCCTGTAATTTTGGACCAAATAGTCATCTTGATAACAGTTTTTGAAAAACTTTTGCAAAAGTTGGCTTTTTGTGTTCAGTTTTTTTAGCTCCGCTGTCGACTTTGTCGAGCGGAGCTTATCATATGAGTGATTGTCCGTCGTCGTCCGTCGTCCGTGTCAATGTTTTACTTTTTCGACTTCTTCTTGAAAACTACAAGCCTAAATGCTTTGATACTTGGTGTATATGTACCTTGGGTAGACCTCTCTTAGGTTTGTTCATTTCATGTTGATATCTTTAATTCTCTAATTTTGGTGAATATTTTTGTCATTTTTGGTAAAAACTGATATTTTCGACTTCTTGTTAAAAACCGCAACCGCAAGTGCAATTGCTTTGATATTACATATATAGGTACTACATGTGGA